CCCACTATCCAGATAACCCTGACTTAGACCTATGATGTTAACTATGGAGAAATATTTTGTCCAGTAGCTAAAATCTCTTGTATTCGAGTTTTGATACTACTCATCTTGATCGACCCTTTTTTCAATTAGATGTTAAGAATGCTTTCTTACATGGTGATTTAGTGGAAAACATTTACATTAAACAACCACCAAGGTTTGTTGCTCAAGTGGAGTGTCAAGGGACTGTGTGCAAGTTACAGATAACATTGTATGGATTGAAACAATCTTCACGAGCATGGTTTGGAAAGTTATCAGATACAGTGTTGGATTTTAGTCCCATAGATGTCAGACAGATTATTCAGTNATCTAACTATAACACAATTGACATGGCTATCCATAATAACAACAATACGTTCATGCAGTTAGGCTTATATAAATTGATAGTAATATCACTGACCTATAACGGATGCATACGGGGCAATTTTTTCATGGAAAATTGGCCTGTACTGTTCTGGATGTGCATAGTAGTCAGCCTAAAATGGATAAACATGTTAGGGTTAGCATTTTATGCATATACATGTGTCAAACCTATTAAAGAGATTGATCCTTGCAGATGAAATTGAGATAAATGACTTCCAATGAAGTAAAAAGAAAAAAACACACCAATCTCAAAGAGGAAATGAACTTAGATGACTGAATTTTTTAGTTTCTTGATGGAAAACTGTAATTTTGGAATCAGTATGCAAAAAATGCGGAATAAATTGAAGTCTGAAGTACAAATCGATANAATCTCAAAGAGGAAATGAACTTAGATGACTGAATTTTTTAGTTTCTTGATGGAAACCTGTAATTTTGGAATCAGTATGCAAAAAATGCGGAATAAATTGAAGTCTGAAGTACAAATCGAAANTTTCTACATTTTATATGCAATAAGCATTAATGTTATTATTCGTAGTCTTGTTCTGAACTGCTAGTGACATTAGCAAAAATACATAATTGATTAGAAATTTACTAAACAAGGAAAATTATGGCACTATATCTATAATAAAACATGGAATTAACCAACTTGATCTAACTATAACACAATTGACATGGCTATCCATAATAACAACAATACGTTCATGCAGTTAGGCTTATATAAATTGATAGTAATATCACTGACCTATAACGGATGCATACGGGGCAATTTTTTCATGGAAAATTGGCCTGTACTGTTCTGGATGTGCATAGTAGTCAGCCTAAAATGGATAAACATGTTAGGGTTAGCATTTTATGCATATACATGTGTCAAACCTATTAAAGAGATTGATCCTTGCAGATGAAATTGAGATAAATGACTTCCAATGAAGTAAAAAGAAAAAAACACACCAATCTCAAAGAGGAAATGAACTTAGATGACTGAATTTTTTAGTTTCTTGATGGAAACCTGTAATTTTGGAATCAGTATGCAAAAAATGCGGAATAAATTGAAGTCTGAAGTACAAATCGATAAAATGCTGAAGCTTGAAGTGTTATGGCCTTTCCTTTCATTACTCCCCTAAGAGTATCTCAAACAGAATGGCTAAAACTCAAAAATAACTAAAATTTAGTTATTCAACGGCAAAAAACATACTCTAACAAAAAATGTTCAGAGTAGGTAAAATACATGTTTGCTACAATGATGTTCTACATTTAGAGTTTCACTGTAACATTATGTATAAATAATTTATAATATATTCTCTCTCTTCTTGTCATTTTCCACCTCTCTTGCCCANGTTGCAAGCAAGAAAGGGATGCAATGAAAAAAGAAAACAAATTTTGTTTTAGTATAAAGTGGTTGGCATCTAAAAGCTTACTGGTGTCATCAAGAGACAGAGAATAAGACTTACTAAGGCAAGGTTCAAAATTTCTTTTCGGTGCAGTATTTTCGGTCACTAAGGAAACTGAAATATTTAGAAAAAGAAAGAAAAATAACAAAAAATATGGGAATTTATTTTCAAAATATTATTCGAAATATACCAAAATATCTTGAAACACCTCAAAATATTCCAAAACATTGGTGAAAACATGTCAAAACACCTCGAATAATTGGAATTACGATTCAATCACAGTTCGTTTTGGCCTTTTTAGAAACATAAACATTTCGACCATTTCAAAACAAAATTATAATTTTTGTATCTCAGCTGGATTCTTCATTTAGCTTTGACTCTATTGTTGATTTTTAATTCTCTATAACTAAAAGACTATCAAAATATTACATTGTCATTGATGTCACTGCAAAAAGGTGTATACATGTAAAAGATTACACACAAGCCTATTGTCTTTGGTGGGATCTGATTAGGTAAATGGTAGACAACCTTGCCACATTTTGCAAAGACTAGTTTTCAGACTTGAATCCAAGAACTATTACTTGGGTGGATGAACACTTGTCATCGTCTCATCGGACCTCTATATACATGTCAATATTTCAATAAACAACTCATTAACATTTGTTCATTTTCTACATTTTATATGCAATAAGCATTAATGTTATTATTCGTAGTCTTGTTCTGAACTGCTAGTGACATTAGCAAAAATACATAATTGATTAGAAATTTACTAAACAAGGAAAATTATGGCACTATATCTATAATAAAACATGGAATTAACCAACTTGATCTAACTATAACACAATTGACATGGCTATCCATAATAACAACAATACGTTCATGCAGTTAGGCTTATATAAATTGATAGTAATATCACTGACCTATAACGGATGCATACGGGGCAATTTTTTCATGGAAAATTGGCCTGTACTGTTCTGGATGTGCATAGTAGTCAGCCTAAAATGGATAAACATGTTAGGGTTAGCATTTTATGCATATACATGTGTCAAACCTATTAAAGAGATTGATCCTTGCAGATGAAATTGAGATAAATGACTTCCAATGAAGTAAAAAGAAAAAAACACACCAATCTCAAAGAGGAAATGAACTTAGATGACTGAATTTTTTAGTTTCTTGATGGAAAACTGTAATTTTGGAATCAGTATGCAAAAAATGCGGAATAAATTGAAGTCTGAAGTACAAATCGATAAAATGCTGAAGCTTGAAGTGTTATGGCCTTTCCTTTCATTACTCCCCTAAGAGTATCTCAAACAGAATGGCTAAAACTCAAAAATAACTAAAATTTAGTTATTCAACGGCAAAAAACATACTCTAACAAAAAATGTTCAGAGTAGGTAAAATACATTTTTGCTACAATGATGTTCTACATTTAGAGTTTCACTGTAACATTATGTATAAATAATTTATAATATATTCTCTCTCTTCTTGTCATTTTCCACCTCTCTTGCCCACTCTTTGTCTTTTCCTCTATTTTTTCTATTTTAATAGTCCCAACAAAATTACAAGATATGAGAAATAATATTTAATTAAAATATAAAACATTTGTTGGAACATATATTGAGAAGCTGAATAATTAAAATAGAAAAAGTGTACTTTTAGATAGTTAAAATATAAAACCTTGTTGGAGATGCTCTAATTCATTGTTTTCTATGATACTTCTTGTCAATGAGAAAAGGACAAATAGTACAACCATTGCATTTGAATGGAACGGTGACATATACATTTTGGTGTGAGAATGTGTGGATTTTTTAGAAACATTTTGGGCCAGCCTGTCAATCATATAGGGTCAAACTGTTTCGTGTCGAGTCTTAGCATGTCGTATATTTTTTTTGATTGGTTTCATCCATACCTAATTCGTTTATTAATTCAATCAGGGTTGGGTCTACTCGTTTACGAAATGGGAGACTTAAAAAAAAATTCAAATCTTCTAATTTTCTATTGTCTTAATGGGTCTTGTCATATTTTGACACCTTTATGGACCACATCTAACATATTTAATATATTAACTGGCCCATTCCAAAAAAGGGAGCTGTACTCATAAATATACCATTTTTACATTGAATCCCTGTGTCTGCGCCTCACCTTAGGATGAACTCCAATGTTTGGTGCCCGGAGACTAGAAACCTCTCGGGCATTTGGATCGGAGAACTTAAGTAGGAAATCGGGTTTTAAATTCCTAAAAGGCACATGAACTCAAGGGCAGTACCACGTATCAAAAATGTGCAGCTTTGCATAAACATCATCGTAAAAATACCATTACCATGTTAATTATGGGAAGCTAAGAAACTAGCCGCGGGGGCAGGGGAACAACCCTAAGAATAAAAGGTTGTAACAAATTGCTTTGAAGATAACATGATTGCTAACTAAAAGATTAAGTTTTCATGAGGGTGTACAAGACAACTAGGATTGCATAATGACTTTTCAACAAGGTAGGAGAATTTGGGGGGAAGGGGAGGTCTTTGAATGTGAATTAAGTGAGGTATAGATATCATGACACACTTTATATAGTTTTATGTATAACTGTCGTTATCAAACCTTTATCTTAGTTGTACACAGGACAAACGAAAGCTATCTTTAGCAACTGATTGTTCTACCATCTAGGAACTGGTGTAGTCTCTTGCCATTTGATAACAACCAAACAGAGGGAGAGAGTGAGTGTGTGTGTGTGTGTGCGCTTTCTTATTGTGTACGATATGAAGTAAAAAGTTGTTATAGTTGGTAAAAAGTTGTCAAAAAGAATGAAGGATTGTTTGCTTAGATCTTGTGAGCATTTTGATTGTGTGTTTTGAGTGCTCAAGTTGTGTTGTGTAGTTGTGTTTTTTGTTTAGATCTAGGGGAGCATTTTGATTGCATGTTTGAGTGCTCAAGTTGTGTTGTTCCATGAGAAGTCTAAAGAGATCAACAGGCTCAGTAGCTCTGCAACGTAGCAAATCCATATTTACCCACCAGAAAGGCAAAAATGAAAAATTACAGATCATCAGCAATGCAAGCAAGCAACATAAAGGCATAAATGCAGTTTCAGTAAGAGAAACCCCAAGCAAACAAATTAGTATATATACCTTATCAAATACTTTTGTAGGATCTTTTTGTTCAACCATGTCTTGACTCATCACGATGCATCCATATACTTGGAAGACTCGATTTGATGCTTGTGCAGATTGAACATGGTCTCTGGCCTAAGAAATTGTAAGCAATTCTGATTATAAGGAATCTAAACATTAGTAGCAGAATGTTGCTATCCAACTGAGAAAAATTTGACAATTTCTTGAAAGACATAAGAGAAATCAAATAAAGTATCAAGTCAATCATCGAAATGGAAACTCAGACATGAAGAACACATGCCACTCGTCTGTGCCTCGTGGGAGCTGATCCAATTGTCTTGAAGCCCATCCGAGCATCCCTTTTATGTGCTTGTTGGAATTTTTTCCACTGGAGATGTACTTCTTGATAAGAGCATAACAAAAAGACTAAACTACTTTGGTATGATATTTAGGCCTAAATAGTTCCCAGTACAATTAGAATAAGATTTTGAGTGTTATTATGGTGGATTGGCTTGGCGGACTTATATCCAAACAAGATTAATACCCAAAACAACATTAAAATCTACTAGACCTTCGCCGCATTTTTCCTCTGGATAAGTACACTTCCAAAATCCTCATAACAGGTGATACAAAGTGCAGAGATGCATTGCCATTAAAATCCATCAGGTTAGCCAGCCCTCCCATTCAAGCCTATGAGAGGTTGAAGGCAGTTATCCTCCTAAGGGTAACTTGGATAATGGAAAGCGTTTCCAAAGTGCTTCATTCTTGACAGCTCAAATGAAGAAAGAAATTCCAAATTATACTCTGGATGCAAGTATAAACTAGTTCAAAAACAATCTCAACAATTACCGTGCCAAATGCTTCTGGAAGTCTGCTGGGATCCACAAAAGTGTGTGGCAGAAGGTTGAAAATCTCCTGTGCACCATGGGAAGCTAACACAAACGTGCAGTGTTACCCGAAAAGGAGGAGTAGAAAGCACATGAAAGGAGTGAGATTATAACATTTAACAGAAAAGGTCTTGAACACATGTTCTTATGCTTGAGCGTGAATAAACAGAAACTGCTGTGGTGGGTTGCTTAGAAGAAACAATTTTTCCATAGCATAAGTTGTTCACAAAAAAGGAAACCTTGGGCTGCAGATATGACATCACTATTCAATAATACAGCTTGCCAATCATCACATTGATGTGTTTTCATAGTTTGGGAAAAAAGAACCATGGAAGAGGTAGATCATCAAAGCATCATCTATGATTTCCAAACATTACAATACCTTTTCCAGAACCAGTGAAAACAAAAACTAGAGGGCAGATTCCTGAAGGAAGTCCATTTGTTGCTATCTCTTCACCAATAGAAATTACTGCAGACTTTGCAGCTGCCAACGAAGAGTACATGTAAGATGCACCCAATGAGAGGAAAGGAGTTGAATATCCCAGATTAAGATACCCTGAAATCAAAATAGATAAGTTTACCACTATTAACAGATGGCAATTCATGGTCCATAGAATCCCTCAACAAATAGTTCGATCTTATTGAGTGATACTACACTATAACAAATCCAGAACACTAACTGAAGCTTTACTTTGAAAAGTCCATAAAAGGAGACAATAAATTTGTAGACGCCCTTTTTTAGGCTAGGATAGGAAAGAAGAAAAATGTCCATAGACATGTTCTTTTCATAAGAACTTAAAGTCATAGGCTTTCCTCATTGTTTCCAAGAAACAGTTCCGTTTCCACATCCAGTTCAGGTCACTTTGATTAAATCAAAGGAGACCAGCCAAAAATCATTGGTGTCTGGAATAGGGGACCAGGAATATGATGCAGATGTGAATCAAGGGAGACGTTCCTATTATCATGCAAACTTCTTTCACAAACGAAATATAACTAAATCAAAAAGAAATGTCCATAAATACTAAAATTGAAACATCCTAGATATCCAAAACACCACATGACAGTGAGTGCTGTGGAACATACGTTGTCCTAATCCCCGTAAGAGGTCAATCATTGCAACTCTACCAGCAAATTTTCCAAAAGTGAGTAACCTTTTTCCATGATCTCCATCTATAAGCTCATAATCAAACAAAGTCGCCCTTTCAGCCAAAATCTAAACATTAGGGAGAATGTCAGCAAAATTAAAATCATCATGGTTCCATGAAGACATCTGCAATGAATCGATGAACAGAACAAGAACACACCTTATCAAGCAAAGGCATGTTTTCTTTCTGTGCTTTGTGAGTATGGGAGAAAAAGGCATAAGCCCTGTCAGGAAGAATCATCTCAAGCTGCACCCAAAATAGATAGTTATACAGGAGTTTGATGCTTTAATCATTTAAGAAGTAGATCACAGCGAAGCCTGGGCACCTTTGGTTGCTTAATACCCAAAATAAGACCACATTCTGACAAATCATCTGATATTTCACAACCAACGTCCTCATAAAGGGCATCATGGTGGATGCGCTTTGTGGATGGCTGCACAATAATGCGGGTCACTCCAGTTTTACCCCTGCCACCATTCAGAAGTCGAGCACAGTGCGACGGTGTTAGAGGAACCCTTCTTTCCCACTTGTATCTAGACTCGGAGAGGATTCCAACAACTCCATTGCCAAGCATGGTATATTCACCGGTCTCAAACTAACACAATAATATTGGATTAGACAATAGAAGAGTTCTACAGCTGTTATATACATAGAATTCATGAGTCTAATGTAATCTATCTGGAACAACTTCTTTTGCAAGTGCCAACGTGTTTGCTATAATGAAATTCTCATCAATCACTAATAATAGACATTTGTATGATTTTCATAAGTAAAACATGCATTTATTTAGATTGTTAAGTGAGCAAGAACGAGAAAAACTTCACGCCACTGGTTTCCACTTTGTTACGTCATGTCTGCTATGTCTCATGTCATTGAATCTGAGTCCCAACTTTGACGTAGCTACTTCAAAGGCCTCTCCTTTATCATCATCTTGTCAGCTATTTCAAAGTTGACAGAGTGAACGCCAGCAAAAAATTAATTAAACACTCCCTTCAATAAATCATAACTCACTACCAAATTTTGCAAGAAAATTCTGAATTCATAGTGGCTTCTCCCCTATTAGTAGTTATACTATAACTTGGATAGTTATCCATGCACTTCTGATCAATGATAATCAACAAGTTTTCCGAACATTTGTCTTCCTTGGGAGTAGATAAAAGTTAAGAGACTGCTTGCTTAATCTTTTGTGAATCTAAATTACAACTCTGAAGCAAAAAAAAAAAAAAAACAACCAGTATCAGAGACATTAGTGACAATTTTAACATTAAAGTAACTAATTTTGTCTGTGGGTGGTAAGTTTAACAAACGACTGGGTGAACATCAAACAACTCTTGCAAGAAAACTCAAATTATAGTTGAATTCAGGACATTGAAATCATCCATATATGCTATTGATTAAAATTTAAACGATAGCAAAGCAGTAGTTGGTTTACACCTACATTATACTAGACTTTCTTTTTTTTGGTCCGTAAATTTTTGAGATTGACACTAGGTTGCCCATAATAGGTGTGTTGTAATAAAAAGGACCTCAAATAATTTCAAGGAACCTCCAAAATATATAACTATATAAAATCTATACCACCAATAAAAGGCAGCTAAAGTGAAAAGAATTTTAATTTTCAAATTTACCCCTAAACAATTCTTTAAAGTCATCTTTGACCAAGTCCAATAATTAGGTATCTCATTTAAGTTTTAGACCCTACAACTATAGTAACAACACATATAATATTTAGACCTTAGAGTTACATTAACTGATTCGGATTAAAATGAATATCCATTGTAACCTAGCATACAAAGACAACCAATAATCCATATCCTACCTATCATGCATATCACAAAAAAAAGAAATCATCACATCAGAACAGGATTGAAAGTTTTTGAAGCTAAGGAAAGTGTGATATCTTCTGGCCAAACCCTCAAGTGAGGAAGCTTATGCTGCCATGAATTTGCCTCAAACATGGCTTCCCTTCAATGAGGCTGATATATTCAAAAGCCGGGTGGTGGAACAGGTCCTAAATTTGGTTCTTTACTGGTTAATAAAAAACTGACCTATTAATACTTAATTTAGTTCATGCTGCATAAACAGTAATAGAGCAGATTGTCCTGGATGGTTTTTTTTCCCGCATGCTGCAAGTTTAGTTCAATTTGTAGTAAGTCTTATTCTTCTCATGATGTTTTAAAGTAATCAAAAATCAAAGACCAATATGAGGCTTGGATTTCATTTGTCAAGGAATATTCAGGTGTACTTATTAGCTAAACATGTATATATTTTGTTCTGTTGCAGACTGGTGGCTTTGCTGCCAAAACAATTGTTGAACTTCTTGACATGTTTTGCCACTGCAATTACATCAACTAGCAAAGATTAATCTCTCTCTATCTCTCTCTCTCTCTCTCAATTTGATGTCATTTTGGTGTCCTGATCTGCTTGTTTCTGCTATCCTTTTTTCTTGGGAATTAATTGTTATAATTATCTTTGGATTTCTGTTGAGTTTAACATATTGATATGAGTTCTTTAGTTATTGAAGATAATGGCTACAGAAACCATAAAACTTGAACTTTCATTTGCTTTACTAGGATTTCTTTCCACACAAACATAAAGGCTAAGAAAATGACAAAAAAGTGTATGTCTGAATGACTCATGCAATATGGTACAGGAACACAAATATACAATATTTATGGTAATGGTTAAATGTTTATGTGTTGTATAGACTCCTAAATAAAGATGACAATTTTGAACAGGAACCTGATATGAAATTATTGGGTCATAATTGACTAGTTGTCAACATGAACTCAAAATGAGACGCGACAATAAGTCGGTCGTATTAGTATCAGATAACATAAAATTAATACGATTTACATATATTACAAGTATTATATGAATAACATTATATTTGTGTCATTATTTATCAAGTACTGATATGAATCTTTTTAAAATAAGAGAATTTTTTTACTTACTTTTATTATTTTGTGGATCTAGTGGATTCTTAGTTTTCAAAAACTATGATTATGGGCTGAGTTGAGAATAGTTTTAGATAATTTATTTAGAGAAACACCACACAATAATCTGGTTGGGTTAACATTAGATTCAACACGATTAATTAAAAGTACTCAACATGAAACTCCACATAACTCAACCTTACTCATAAATACACAGATTTTGAAATGACTAGAAATCAGTATAAAAACAGTTTGATTATATGGAGTGGTTCAATGTCTAAGTGTAGGGTAACGCAAAAGTCTCAGATTCAACATTTCTTTTACCCTAACGGTCAGCCACTTTTATTCATCAAAGAACATGTTCTAACTCACTCGAGCTAAGGTGACCAATATCCAAACTATAGAGAGTAGTATACAAGTCTAAACACTCTAAATATATATATATATATATATATATATATATATATATATAGATAT